TTTGGAAACTTTGTATGTGAATGTGTTTAACGGGGGAAGACAAATCGTAATCATCGTGTGGAAGACACAGCTAATCCTCAATTCAAGTATTTTTATGTATCCAGATGTATGAACATCGGGCCTTTGAGTGAAATTTATTTAGGACACCAAGGAGTGAACCGTATCGTACCAGAAAGAATGAAAGATTGTAATGGACGTGAATCCACAATGTTTCTGTCATGGGTTCGGGATTTTCTGTAGCAAACCCGACTAAATCATCGACTCAAAAATGAGCGTACTATTTTCTAATACGAATAATATTGAAACTCCTAGAGTATAAAGTATTTAACTTCAGCAGGCGCACCATTCTCTTGCAAGATTCTACCAAACACATTGGAATTTGTACCTCAGTTTGCTGAGGTTGAACTTTTAAAAAGAGTTTTCCTTAAACGCCGAAAGTCCAGACAAGTGAAAGAGCCGGCAGATCATTCACCTTGTAACGGTTGAATGAATGGGATACTTCAGAGTTTGGCAGATTTTCCGCCTCCATTGACAACTTTTTATCGTCTTGCTGCTTTTTTATGGGTTAGTAAATGGACGAATGCTTCACTTCATATTACAATCTCCTCTTCAAAGTGGATAGATGAAAATGTAAAGCAACTGTTGAAGATTGAGTTTTAGCAATAATTCTTAAATAGGGTACTAATATCATAGAGTCCGTCTATGCTACTACTATTGAGCCAAATACTTGACTTTTATTGACTCTGCAAAGAATTTCTGCATCCATCCCACTTTACAATTAATTCATAACACGAATCAATTAGAGGTTTGAGTGAAGTTGTAGTGATAAGTAAAGGTTTGAGGTATCAATCTCTTAGATAAAACTTTGGATAGGAAAAAAATGTAAATTGTCCTGTTAAGTTTACGTTATTCTTACTTGTGTTTTTCCTATGTGCTGCAGTCAACTTGGCACAGTTGACAACACGGTAATAAGCCCACGCATGATGAGAGTTCCCTCCCTCTAAAAGTACTTCAGGTAATATTTATTCTAACCGTACCATCAGTGTTTACATTCAAACACTTGCCACAACCCTAGCGTAATTTGAAAATTTCCTGCAGTAAAGAGTGTTCCTTGAAGATTCTGAAGTTGGAGACAATTCCAATGCGAATTTGATGATGAGTTTGATGATGAGTTCAGGTTGGAGTTTCGAGTCTTCTGTCGCGTTCGCGGGGAGAGATTCTTCGCCCGCGATGGCGGGAGAGCAGGACCGGAAGTCTGGATGTAGGAAGCTCTGTTGGCGACGCCGGATATCGTTATACTCGCCCGCCAACGCCGGTTTTTCCTCTCCCGCTCTCTGAGGTTTATAGGTCTTCGGAGCCGCCTAACGCCTAAATGCATCTCTTGTGGAGTGTGTTCTTTAGAACATTGAGGCGCAGAACGCCCAATGCTCTTGTTCTTTCAACAAACGTTCAGTAGACAACAAAGTAACCGTGAAAATACTGGGGGAGTTCTTTGTTAATCTCAGCAACATTAATTCTTTTCGGATAATCGTTATCTTCAGTGGATAGCGAAATGATCAAAATGGCATAAATGATCAACTGGACATTGCGGTGTTTATTAGTCAAGTTCAGTATTATCATAGACAAATATAATAAATACTATTTGTCAATGGTATTATACATTTTGTTCGGGAAAGGAAATCGTATTCTTCAATAGATAACGATCTCACCTGGACGAAGGATACTTACTGGATTCATCAACTAATCCAACTGATTTATCATTACTTAAGACAGCATTGACACCAAGGTGCTTAAAGTAAGTTAGAAATGGATGTAGGCAGCGTGTACACTGGTGAGATGCATTGTTTTTACTCCACCCAGTACCACCAATTAAATGCAAAATGATCAAGGACAGCAAGGGTCCAGTTTCGATCCTAAAAGCATTGAGTTTTTCCAGCATGGAAAAGGCGAACTACGAGATAACCCCTAAGAACCAAGGGTAAGTTTTGAAGTTCCATCCCCACAAGTAAAACTCAGAATAAAATTTACAAACCGAACAAATACAGTTCAAGCTACAGAGAGGTCCGTACACAATTCTTTGGTTGTTCAAATCTATTGTTGGCAGCAATCTTCCACTGAGAGTTGATTTAGTCCATTGATTGATTGAGTGGGGCTTGTAAAATACACAAAAGACTTTAACTGGCATATCCTCAATACAAACCTCTTTCCACCCTTCAATTATATCCAACCATTCCAACCCCTTGATCTGATTGCTTATTGTCAGTTAACCTTGAGAAGTACTCCTTTCGCTCCGACAGATTTTGACAGAGCTCCGATGGAGGGTGAACACTAAAACGTCCCCTCTGTTTGACAACCCTGTAGATTGTGGTTACCCCCTAAAGCACTGTTTGAGTGTCCAAATTATCGATGAAATTTCCGATTGTGCTTGAAGGACTGTTATGTTTGACATCAGCTGTTAATAGAGGGATCACAGGTCTATAAGATTTGAGGTTTTAATCATTCAAAAATTTTCACTGGAGATTGGAATTGCATAGAAAATGTCTTCAGAGCTGTCTGAGAATGTTGTATGATTATTTAGAACATGTTTTTATATTTTGTAGCAGATTATTTATAGTTTTAACCAAGTTATAGTTTTAAATGACACGTCGTACCCTAATTTTATACCTTAATCCATTAATTATTGATTTAAAGAATGACGTTATAATGATTAGACAGTAGTTGAGCAATGTTACAAAACTGATCGATACAATTGACTTCTTTAGTCTAACGAAGGGCGACAATATCATATGTTGCTAAAATTTACCAACTATATACTTCTTTAGGGAGGTTGTTTGGAATACCATCAGTTTTAGTCTCAAAACCTATTTTGAAGTTACTATTTTTTCTTCTCACCATCACTGTAGTACAATATTGATTTAACCGTTTAATAAACAACCTAAATAGTTGTGCCAGGGTCATAGCAGCATACACGTCCGTTTTCGTATGGCTTTTCGTAAATGGAGTTAAGGGGTTACCCGATACAGGGAAGGCTCTATTGACTAAGCGGCTCGTCCTTTATTGTTTTCTAGATCATTAGAGTTTAAGATGCCTCAAATCCACCGTCGCGTGGATTATCACATGGATAAAAACTATTGGTATTTGGCTGGATTTGAAACTATGCCTCCGAATAGAGATTCCATTCTTTTATTACTAAATCAGTGACGCTTCTGGATTACAACAATACACAACTTTAAATCTTAACCATCCTCCTTTATCTCAATTCTTTGTGCACACAACTATTTACATTCTCTAAATGAGAACACATTTCGCGCACTCAAACACATCCCTACGCGAAATGACGTGTCACTCGTAGAAAGTGTCGGGTCGATTTGCATTAACAGTTAGTTTTCGACAAATTGGGAACGCCTGTTGTCCTCATGCCCACTGTCAGAACATAATTGTTGGCGAGAAGAATAAGAAAATTGTAAATATGGCGTCTGTCCATGCAACGCCTACGCTGCCTTTGGCCCTTAGCAATTAAAATGTGTATTGTTTTTATTTCATTCAAAAATTTAATTTTGTGTTGGACTTTAAAAAGTTTTTAATTTACAGTATAGTGATCGTTTATGATATTTGTCAATCCGTATAATGGGCCTAAAGAGACCGTTCACTTACAAACGTGAAACATTTCAGATTAAAAAATGAAACCGCATTTTTACGGTCTAAAATGTATTGGGCCTATAACGTACATAAAACCAAATTCATAAGCCCAATGTGTATTTAATTAAAAACTCAAAGTCTAAGGTAGTCCAGAAACAACAGTCAAACCTGGGAAAATATTTTAATGGACTTTCATTTCTTGAAACATGGATTAATTTAGGTATTTATAAAGTTCTTAAAATTTGAATATTCTGTCATTACAGATTATATTAAAATCTAAAAAAAATAAAAAAAACAACAACTCAATGCCACATTCGTCAGGCTCCGATATACACTAGCAGTCTCCTCATTATTTTAATTTGATACCATTGTAATATTCATTAGTTCACCTTACAAAACCACTCTTCACTGATTTACGTTAACTTCCAATGGATTATAAAATGCTGTTCAATTTCACAAAAAATGGACATGAGCCTTTTGCATTCATGAGTAATTGTATCTTTTGTTCGAATAACACTTTCTTCAAGCTTTTCATTTGGAGGAATAAAATACTTGGCTGATAATAAATATTTTAATCATTAATGCGGGTGTAGTATACAATACAATACAGGTATGAGTCCGACAAGTCGAACGATAGGCCTACTGTACAAGGGTTCGATGCTGTACAAACACAACTACAAAGGTTAGACTAGATAGGTACATCTCACGACACTCAAGTGTGTCTATGTAAGTCGTCCTAGATACAGAGAAAAAAATATAAAAAAAAAACTAAATAATGACTTTGAATAAAGAACTTTTATAGTTAAAAGTATTACAAAATATGTTTGCAGTTGACGTTGAACTGATTTGTATCTAATTTATAGAAAATTAAAATGTAATTCTACTCAAATAATACGTCAATTGACCCATTGATTTACATGCGTAATTTAATTACATTTATTTATATGAAATGTCTAATTAACTCAATTAATACAGTAATTACTCTATTTGGAGTTTAATCAACTCAATTAGATGCGTAAATTAATCAATTACATGCATAATTTACTCAATTAAACGTGTAGTTGATTTAATTGAGAATTAATGAAATAAACAAAATATATGTAGAATATAACCAATAAAATGTGAATTGTAATTAACTAAATGTTTAATTTAGTAGCCTAAATTAAATGCAAAATTTACCAAACAAGTTTGATATGCTTAATTAATAATGAATTAATTGCTCAATCACTCAAGGACCTTGAGACAACATGCAATAAATATCCATAATTATTAGGATTCTGTGTTTTCACATATGATTAAATTGAGTTTATTTTGTTACAAACTTTTGTAACAAAATAAACTCAATTTAATCATATGTGAAAACACAGAATCCTAATAATTATGGATATTTATTGCATGTTGTCTCAAGGTCCTTTAAGAAAAAACCTTTCACTATGTCTTAAAAAGTTAATCATGCTATCTAGGGCGACCAGTTTGAATAAGTTACACATTTTAAAAGTTATTTATACAAGTCCAACAAGATATATGGACACAAAAATAATACAACTGTACCAATTACAAGTCAGAAAACTGTTCGTGTTTGCCATACGCTTAACAAGTCTTTATTGAAATCATATAAATAATATATATTACAGCCTAAGTATGGAAATTATACAAAAAGTTCAGGCACTGTACAATTTTGTATAGTAACCACTTGCGAACTTGCTTAAAACTGAAACACGTTTTTACAAACAAAATTATGATTTAAAAGTAAAATACAAAATACGCTCTATTATCTAAATTTGATCAAAAATTTTACATCTGATTTAAATTCTTACTGCTACGGAATATAAACGGTGCCGTTTAACATGCATACAAAGAGCGAACATATTTTAATACTGTAACAAGTTACATTAAAGCAATCGAATCAGTCTTTGTGGTTATTTAGCGTCAAGGTAGCTTAAACTGTACTATACTCCGTTCACATAATCTAGGCGGAGGGGAAGAAATGTAAATCCCCTCCACTCTTAATCCTATCTTTAAAATAATAGCTCAACAGCTGGGGTTTGCCAAAACGTCAATCAGCTGCACCAAATATATTAAGAAAAAAGTATTAAGGTTAACTTTCCCTCAAATCGCTTAAATTTTGTGAACGGAATATAAGTGGTGAAAAGGTCCAAATAAATTGTTAACCATTCAATGAATAGTGATGAAAACAGTATTTAACTGGTGCTTAATACTTACTGTTATCAACTTTATAACTTCACGAAATGAAGAAAATGAAACAGTTGAGGTAGAGTAATACAGTAATTTAACAGATTATTTATCTTTTTAAATAGTAGTTTTTATTGCAAAATTTTACTGTGTAGGTAATAGTTGTAACACGTTTTCTTGGGAGATTTTTTTAGTAATGATTTTTTTAACTTATAATTTTTTGGGTCTTTTTAGGAGGTGCTATATCTATAAAATACATCTTCACGTGGCAAAATACTACGTAAAGTACTCATTTCCAAGTGTTCAATAGACCACTAAATTCAAGTTCTAATTCTTATTTATCTGAAACATGGTAATGTTAAAATAAATACTACACTTATTACGTTTATATTAACACTATTTTGTTCAGCCTTATCAATGGTAAATACATAAATAAAGCGATTGCAAACCTTACACACCCTACAACTGCTACTGAACTTTTGTAGATGTCCACCTATCAAATTGCAAAACATAAATAGTAAAGTTAAAATGAAATAATTAAAGCTTTTATCTAATATTTGCATACGTAAATGTCCACTAAAAAATTCGAAAAATCTCTTTTCACTTGAAATATTTAATGATAAATCGAATGGAATCAAGTTTATCAAGTATTATACTATATTTTGAAAAGAGTGTAAGTGTACGTTTTTAAATCGGACTAGAAACAATTAAGATAATGATTGAAAAATTGAAACAATTCATACTGTATACACGTGTAAATTAACTATTATTGTACATAATGATTATGGATTTTCAAATTCATTGGATAAAGTTAGATATAATAATAACAAAATGAAATAGGAACTTGAAATATTGAACATTAATTCAACCACAAGAGTTCAGCAGCAAGTCACACACAAATCTCGCACGCTTGACACTCATAGCTACAGTATTTACAATGTACAAGGGGGGGGGGGTTCAAGAGTAGGAATTGTTTTGCCCAGGACACGCACACGAACACTGGGTCACTATCGGGTATTCCACCTTGATCCAACTACACAACCTGTGATGGGGCTGCAGAGCGGCGTTGTTGAACACCGGAGAGCGGCAGTGCCATCGGAGGATGGTCTTGTGGACAGTGGACGACGGTCGACACTTCATGCCCGGGGGGATGGAACAGGAGGTCTTCCCCGAGGGACAGTGACCCTCCTTGAGCCACCGTGGCCAAAACCTCAAGCCCAGGTCCTTCCAGCGGTAAGAAACCGGGCAAGAAGTAAACGCCCACAGAAATTGTTGCAACTTCTTCTTTAACTTCGCTGACACCCTCGTTCTCAACTTGGTGCCGTCCGGGAGTCTGACGAATTTAAAGTCCATGTCTTTCAGGTGCCTCGGCATGTCTCCCACGGGCACAAGCCGTCCTCGGCGGTTCCTCCTGAAGAGGAAGTCCGAGTGGTTGAAGAACTCCTTGGAGTCCCTGGGACGTGAAACACTCATGAAGGAAGTGTCAAGATTCTTCCCCAGCTTGTGCCGCAGCAGTGTGCTGTTGAGCTCTGAAGGCCGCGGGTCGTGGTACCTGTTGGTGTCTTCTATCAGGTCCGGAGGTGCGTCCTCGGGCGAGGCAGGGCGGAGTCCTAGGTCGTGGGGTGACAGGGGGAGGCGGTGGTCGGACAGGCTGGCAGCGACGGTGGCGAGGAGCAGCACTCTCAGGAGGTGCACCAGCCGAGCTTCAACATCCATCTGGAATATGAGAGAATCATTAGAGGATGTATAGAATCAAACATCTCTAAAACAATGAATGTGATTTAAATTTGCCAGACACTGGACCCACTAAGGATTTCAATAGTTTTAAAAACCCTTGAATAACACAGCAGTGCATGCAATAAAACGAATTACAACCGTATTGCGTTTTAGTTACTATACTTAGGTTTGAGTATTTTAATGCTAGGCATGATATTCATTAGTTTAGTTGCCAAGCAAGTATGTAGGTAGTATTTTTTGTTATTTTGTGTTCACTTCTGGTCAGATAGTGGATAGACTTTAATAAAAATGTCAGATACATATTCGGAACAAAGTTTCAGCATCACAAAAATTCTTTCAACAAAAATCTGGACGGTTGAGAATTCCCCAAGTTGAGAAACCTGAAGAAATATTGGACAGGGGTGGGCGGGCTGCTAAACGGGCACTTTTTAAATGGATAATTAAACGTTACAAACAGTTTAGTGGGAAGGGGCGATGACATGATGAGGTGGGCAGACAGACGTTTGATAACATCTGATCCGGGCGCCCCGTAGGTCCTGAGACTATAAATTCTGCCATGTTAACACTTGTGCCGCCCAGCATACCTATGTAAATCCAGAGGACCAGCGTCGGGCGCCATCCAACCAGTGGTAAAAACCTAGTTAGCTGTGAAATATTGAGGCGGTCAGTTAGCAAATTGACGGGATAGCCCACATTTGTCAAGCAGACCACATCTCCTACATTCTTAGGTTTGCTACAGTTTGCTGCATCAATAAATCATGGTGGAATCTTTTTTGGGGATTTGCTAAAGGGTCTGATGGGTATTTTAATTGTTCTGTTAGTGCTTTGCAGTTAAATTGACATATTAGGTTTGTATGCATAGGCTATGCCAAAACCCTAAAATTTAGTTTACGTTTCCACTGGGACGTTTGTATTTGGTCGATGTTCACAACATTCAAAGCTCTTGGAATTAATTATTCCAAACACAGACACTGCTTTGAATAGTAACTTTTCAAGAGATTAAGTTGTTGGAAAACTAGAAGATGAAAAAATGTTCTCATAAAAGTCACTCACTCCTACATCACACAATCATTAAGTCCAATAGATTCTTAGACTTCTTGGAATGTGCTGTCAAGGTGTCTAAAAAGTCATTGTTGGTCTTTAAACCCGTTACTACAATATACACCTCAGGATTTATAAAAGACTATTTCCTTTCTCAAACGAGGTTCCAAGAAGGGAGCCAAGACCAATCAAACCTAAGCTAAGAGGATTGCTGAAAGATTATATTTCAGCCGTTTAAAAGTGAAATATTATATTCCTCGGATCCTCCCCGTGGGTCTTAAGAAGGAAGTTGTTTGAAGCCATGAATGAAGAGAGAGGATTAGTGTCGGAGGTTATAAAATCTGCACGGCCGAGGATCAAGACCTCGAGGATTAAGGATTTTGTTTCCCTGGCGCCACAAAGACTAGGGTCACAAATTTCGATCCGACCCGGTGACTTTAAGAGCCGTGCGCCGCGCCATAAGTCAGTCCGAGCATAAGCCGAGCGCTGCGACCGACGGCCAATTTGTTATTTGAAAGCCGCTGTAAAAAATTTATAAATAACAGCTAATCCGCGTGGAAGCGACGCGTTTCGGCTTCATTCTCTTTTTTCATTGATGCTTGACCCCCTCCCCCCACCTCCAGCCAGACTGAGGTGTTCTACGGACATGGGCCCTGGGAAGTCTCACCACATAACCGCATCATTAGCTGCTTTGAGGAGGTTGTAAATTTGTCTAACTGACATGGCTATTACAATGTATTTGATTTAAAAGTTGATTAATACATGTTGATTAAATAGTTATTAACTAACTAAATTGGAGTAGTGTTACAGGTTTAAGTTTTTTGATCTTCCGATTAAATCGAGAACAGTACGCTGGCTTGAATCTACTTTGAAATTTTTGGTACTACTTCATGTTCTTCATCACCGTTTGTCCAGGGAATTTCTTTAAGAAAATGTTATTATTTGTGTTTGTGTCAGGGTACCTCTTCCCTCCAATTGTCGGTGAAACTTAAATATAGCCGAAGTATTTATTCCAAGAATTAAGCACAACCAAAGACCACGTAAAGAATATTTTTTATGCTCAGCCAAATAAGAAAAATCCAAAATTTATGAGTATTAGTGCACTGATGCTCAATACAACCTCGTCTAGTAACAAATCAGTTCTGATGCGGCAGCCCAAGAGTCTAATTGGTAAAAATGAACCACATCCGATTAAAATAAAGAGCATCTCTACATAGGTAAAGCGTGCAAAGTCCTGAATAAAATTACAAGCTCAATGCGATATCTTCAAAAATAAGGCATTCTCAAGAATCTCTTAGAGTAAAAACGAACCGCAGATGAAAAGAGCATATCTATTTTGGATCACAATGTCTGTTTCTCAAGTTCAATCAAAGGCTAAGCAGTAGTTGATTAAAATCAAGAGTACGTCTAGAGCCGAATCCAAAGTAGATTCCTCAATCCAAATTCCAAACTCTGTAGCCATCATATCAGTACACCAAAGCTTAAGGCGACAAAACAAAGCAGTCGTGAAGCAGTAGCCCAGGAGTCTGTCGGTTCGGGTGAGTCAGGCAGGATATCCCGAGTGTTATGAGAACGCCGTCGCGAGTCGTCCCACAGTGTCTTGATAATGATCACCATCCAATCACCTTCAATGCAAATGGCTCGGCTCTTCTCTTCCTACGGACGCCCACTGAGCTACGCCTCGCTTTCGGGCACTTTGGACGATATCGCTCCGGGCTCCGGACACGGGCTGGGTGGACAGCACGTTCACTTTCCTTCTGATAAAGAATCGAGGGTGGGACGACTACTTGTGTTTGAATAGTAGAGGTATGCAGTGGATACCTCCACTCCAAGGATCAATCCTTGGAACAAGTATAGGTGGGCAATAAATGTTTGGGAGATAAATGTTGTTTCAATAAGAGCTTCCAGTGATGCTATATATTTGGACAGTTTGGGTATGATATTCAGTGATAGGAATTGTTAGGTCTAGGACTGATATTGTTTTTCTCCTTTTGTCAATTTATTAAGATTTTGTTTTAGTAAATTTTTAATTCCAAAATAATGAATGACTGATAATAACTCGTTTGCCGTGCGCAGGCTTCGCCTATGTGGAACATTCTATGTTTTAAAGATTTTTATATTTTTTAAACTTTCTTTTTGGAATAAATGTTATTGTTGATTTGATTTGAGTGTTGGTGATTCGACTTCAAAACGACAATTACATTCATGTACAAGAGATATCGAGAATAGTCGAGTAGAATGTTCAGTGAAAGACCTAAGACCTAAACCACTTAATGCCCGAGTGGCACACAAGACAACATCGAACCTGAATGAATAGTATAACAAACCATAAAGATTAGCAGCGTATAAATCAATAACGTTAATGATATAGATGAAACTAAAGAAAATAAAATACGATATTCATTATAATGTTCCAGGACCGCGAGACAGGCTCTAGAGACACCAACGATGGGACGGACTGAAGCACTACTCGTTGTAGCATTGAAGCACTACTAATCATTGTAAGTAACCTTTTCAATATTTTCAATGCAGTAACCAACACCCATTTGAAATTATATTTTAACCTGTTCGAAATGTAGATAAAACACAAGTATTATTTCTAAAATAGTTGTATGGTTTTACTCCTCGTTATGAAAGTTCAAGCGTGGGTAGAAGTAGAACTTTATAAACATATGTACTTCGTAATGCATTCACCATATCACCATGGATCAGCTGCAGAAAATATTAAGGTACAATCATTTTCTACCCAGAATTGTAGGCAAAATATCCGCACATTCAAGCTACTCGAGTAAAAGATTAATAATTACCGGTATAGGCCTCAGAATTAAAATAGTATGAGAAGTCTACTTTCAATGTCTTGATAGTATAGGTTCCATAATATTCCAATAGTCTTATAAACATTTTATTCGATGACTCTTCAATGGCAATGTCCTTCATACGAGTAACTAACTGCAACTCCTTGTTCAAGAGTGCGTGATGAGGGAGTGTAGCCGTTCATGAATGTACACGTAACCGGTTCCAAATCAAAAGAATAACTCTGTTAACTGAATCGTTCTCAAACTAAATTCGGAAATTTTAGTTGTTTGTCTTCTCACATTTGGATTATTATTGGTTGTTAGATTACGTTGGTTACGGATTATGACTCTGATGTGTGTTGATAAAGGAGGTACTCTGTTTTGTGAATAGTTCTCTTTGTTGATTCCCTTGTTCTTATTTGTAAATTATGAAGTTATTTCGTTTTACACATTTTGATTATTGGTAGCCTCTGAGCATTGTCTTCTTCGTTGACTATTTTACTTGAATTTGGGAATGCTAGCAATTCGGTTTCTGGCTGAATTATCCCAGTAACTGTTGTGATCTCTTAGTTTTGCTGGTAGCCGTACCCAAATCAAATTACAGTACTTAAAGGACTTAAAGATTGGGAATAAACACATTTCAGGATACACATATAAGCAATTTCCCAACGTGAAACAACAGTTTGAATAGATAGTAATCATGTATAAGGGACATTATACACACGTTTGGTTTGATATGCACAAATTAATCCGTCCAATCTTTGTCTTTGACAGAAACTGGTCTTCTCTTCATTGAACTAATAAAAATACCGAAGTTTCAGGATGAATTGCTGTAATGCGTACAGAACATCGGTCAGTATGTTCGGCTTTTCAACGGCGCAAGACGCAATCGCCGAAGACTAAGATTTAGATTGTCGAATCATAATTTATGCATTGATTTGTGCAAAAATCCCATCTACTCATCGACAAACTGACAAACAATTCCATTACTACAGATACCATTACGCACATAATAATAGGAGTAAGTCAATGAGTAAGTCACTGTTTACCGCATAATGTCATAGTGGGAGTGTCTGCATACCCAGAGGCACTCACAATGTGTGAATAATGATCAATCTGATTCATTCATTTGCACGGGAAATT